AAGGGGGTACCTCCGGGGTGGTCCCATATAAATTTGGTTAAGATGTGGTGATGGCATCGGCACGTTTTTGAAGTCGGTTTTTTTAAATTTTTAATTTGTAATACTTGTTGCCATAAATTATTTTTGTTTCAAAAACAGCTTCTCTAAATTTGTTTCTTTTTACGCTCAAATGTGAATTATCGATGTTTTTACTGAAATCCATACCTATGGGACTCAATATTGCATTCATGTCGACTAAAAAAATTATTAACTAACGTTTTTCTCTACATTTTAAATCCAAGAACGTAAATCAAATTTTATCCCTGGAAATATATTTCAACTGACCTTTCTGAGGAACAGAGCGTAATAGTACATGGAAATCGCAAAAAAGAAGTATTGCTTTACATCAAATGAGATAGTTCTTTTTTTTATGAGTCGGTAGTGATGAAATGGGTAATAACAAATCCAAGTTTTCCACCTCGAAAGCCCTTCGGATCACAGTTAATTACTTAAAAATGCATTAAAGTTTTTTTTCGTTTTTGTCATATTTTACCACCAAGGACCTACGTTATGACAAATATTACTATGAACACTTTTTAAGTAGACTAAATTTGCAGTTAATTAAATGAGAATAATTTAGTTTTGTTAGGTCAAATAGTTTTTAAGATGAATTGCGGCTATTTAAAAGTTTGCAAAATTTAAAAAAAAAGGATGTATTACAGTTTTTTTAGTTTTCGACAATTTTTACCTCTAATTGGAGAAGTTACTTTTTTGGTTATTAAAGTCCACTTAATTCCCAACAAAATGAGACTAATTATGCGTCTTTTGAAGAAACTGGTTCCAGATATCGTCGGCTTAACATGCAAATGTCGTAAGTCCTAATATATTAAAATTTAAGACCAAAGGTAGTAAGTACCATAAAATTGCCCTTTCACTTTAGTTTCTAGAAAATAATACATAATAGGTCATCTTACTAATTTTTTTTTAATATCCAAGTTTTTTCAGTTAAATTATTACGACGCAATCACTAAAACGGTTTTTTCAGTATCCTGTAAAATTTATACTTTGGTCTTATGACATTTACATGTTAAGCCGACAATATGTCCAATACTTGCAAAATCACTATGACAAATACACCTGTAGTTTTCAATGGCTATCCATCTGACGCATCAGACAAAAATAGCTCTGAACGTCTGCGTAGAGCTCTAGCAACGTCTTCTCCTGATGTTATATTTGATGAAACAACCATTGCTTCAGTTGCTAAAGGAAAGTTCCTATTGAATGACAGGAATACAGTTAGACTCAGCGACATACTGAAGGTTCACCTGGAGAACAAAATTCTAACATTACATACAGAGGAAGGTTCTGATTAAAAGTAACCACAGCTATTCCAATATCCTTTTTCTACGAAGTAGTAAAAATCGTCGGCGAGGATATAGATTTGTTGGTCTTACTTTGTGGTTTGTCACGAGACGGAGGAAACCACATCCTTCCAACAAACAGTTCAAATAGCAATATTATATTTGTAAAATGTGGGAAAGAAAAACACCCAGATGTCACCTACTTGCCAAATTCCTTTACGCAATTATCACAAGCAGGAATAGCACAGTTCCTTCACGCGTTTAGCGGTTGTGATACAACATCAGCACCTTTTGGCCAAAGAAAAAAGAAATTTTGACCCTCAATTAAAAAACAGCCTCGAACGCAGAGATTTTCTTAAGCTTTAATGCTACACCTGAGCAAGTTGCCGACGCAGAAGAGACCTTTCTCGTTTCACTATGGAGGCAACAGAGAATCGCAAAAGCTCAGCGATCTTTGCTTCTAATTATTCACTAGGGCAGTAGTTAAGCTCAACATGCACCTCGTCAGATTGCCTTTAACCAGAAATGCTGCAAGATTTCACTCTCTGCGAACATACCACCAGGTGAGAATACGTTTTTTGCTTGCATTCCTTTCTACTTCGGACCACATTCTTCATACATGGTACCTTAATTTGTTGTTGATTTTGTTTCAGGTATAGAAGTGGCTGGGAAATAAGAAGAATCCTCTCGATTTGGACTTGATGCAGAGTACAGGCCTCGTTCCTCAACAGATAATGGCACCACCAGCTACTCAAGCTCTGCTAAATATGATTTTCTGTAACTGCAAAAAAGGTTGTATCAGCAGTTATGGTTGCAGGAAAGCAGGACTAAAATGCTTGGATGTTTGCAGTTACTGCACTGGCCAATCTTGTGAGAAAATACTAGACCTGATGTGTGACAACATTGATGAACCATCAAATGACGATTTCGACCTTCCTGAGCAGTTCGATGAAGAAATTCTATCTCAGCAAGTTTTCCCCAAAAGGTGTGCTGTGGATTTAGAGGATGAGCCTGGTCCATCAAAAATATACAAAAACTGCGAGTAATAACTATTTCTCTAACTCTGCTGTACATAAAATACCTACAATGAGGCGTTTCATTACATAATTCATATTAATGTTATAATTAGTAAAATATTTATTTTAATAAATTATAATGTTTATTTCACTAACTTCACTACTTCATTTTACTTACCTAAACAACTTTGGAATTATCAGGTGTAAGTTGACATAATTGGTCTTATTTTGTTGGGAATTTAGTGGACTTTAATAAATAGGAAAAAATAACTTTTACCATAAACCCACTTCTTGTCGAAAACTAAAAAATAGTAACTCTGCTTTTTTTTAAATTTTGAAAACTTTTAAATAGCTTATTTAGCCTACCAAAACCAAATTATTCTCATTTCATTACAAATTTAGTCTACTTAAAAAGTGTTCATAGTAATTTTTGCCGTAACACACGTCCTTGGTGGTAAAAATTGACAAAACTGAAAGAGTCCTAAAATTTAAAGATTTTTTAAGAATTTAACAATGACCCGAAGGGCTTTCGAGGTGGAAAATTTGGATTTGTCATTACTATCTCATCACTACTTTGTGAATTATCATTCACCTGTGCTGAAACGACACAACGTTAAGACCAGGATGCACATTTCGAGGGGTAAAGTTGAGGTCGTAACAAAAATACAGGGTGGGCTTTATTCCCTCTCACCCGACGCCAATACATTAATGTGAGTTACGTGCATTTTTCTCAATTAATATTTTATTCTATATTAAAATTTAAAATTACTTTTTAAGACCTATACAAAAGAATTCTATGTATGTGACTACAAAAAATGATTATATTTTTTACTGTCGATAAGAAAATGTATAAAGAAAACTAAAACATTAAAAGATCCATATATAAATAAGGCACAAAAAAGTTACACATACCTGTCAGCAAAATTTTTGATATCTTACCTGAAAAAAAAAGTTTAATTAATAATTTGTAACTGGAAATAATAATTGAAAAAAAAGTATAAAAGTAGTAACTTTATTACAATAACTAAGTGTTGCACCTAATACGACCCTGTAGAATTATTCTATGACGTTGACATATATAAATGGATTACGTCACCCCCTTGTGATATGTAGGCTGTCCCATTAGTGAACAGTTGCTTGATATTTCAATTTGTGTTAAAGCCACTCAAACAAGTTTTGAAAAAAAGTTTGACGGAAATAAAAAAACAATACTTTTAAAATATTTTTGGATATACAGGGTGTTACGCTTTTGCCTGGCAAATAAAAAAGATAATTTTTTTAATAGAACACTGTATTTTATTTCAGTTTTCGAATTATCTAGTGATATTGTATTGAGTTTTAGAATATTTTTAAAACATATTACAGGGTTGCCAAACAATATATTTTTTTTTGTAAAATTAGATAATGATACAAACCACAAATGAGATTTATATAATTTCTTAAAAATACAGACTGATACAGACTTAAAACTTGTCATAAATATAATCAATGTTTTAGCATTATTTCCGATATGAATTTACATATCCAACGATATTACGTTATTAGCCTATTATACATATAGATCAATAATTAATTGATCGATAGCTGTTTTATTATTGAAGATTAAAATGTTAATACAGAAGTTGTACGATCATATTTTACAAAAAATTTTTGTTAAACCATTTGTTAGAAATAATGGGTGGTTTCCTTTTCCCTCGACGTCACAATTATTAATAAAATCTATTGTAAATAAAATACAAAAATGTGTTTTGATATAAAAGAACCACACAAAATAAAAAGTACTCGTAAAGAAATTAATTAATTAATTAATTAATTAATTAATTAATTAATTAATACATACAGGATATTCCATTTGAAAAATATGAGAAAACGTAATCTGGCATTTTGCCACATCCTATATACAACATAGTGAATGAATGAAAATACAAAACATTTTTAGGAACGTTAAGTCTATTAACATTGTTCGACGATGTGAAAACAATAAAATCTGTTATATTATGTTTAACTACCTATACAGGGTGTGCTTTAAATAAGTATAATAACCTTCCTTTTGACTAAAAAATAGGGTAAACCAACTGGTCATTGGCTGTACTCTTAACGTTTAAGTGCTTAGTATATTTTACCCAGTTCTTAAAATATAACAACCCAGCCAACCCTTCTTATCACATACCTAAGTATTCTAGATTATAAAAATTGATATAAATGTATAATAAATTATAAATTACATTCATAAATAGGCACCTCATACCAGTGATTGGCATAAGTCTCTCTGTTATTGGCCTAGATGTTAAGTAGTTATTGGCCTTATTTTTGATGTATATTTAGAGGCCATTTTAGGTACAACATCAATTTTCTTAAGAGCCACGTAACGCCAAGAAGTCCTAAAGATACGAAATTTTCATGATACCAATAAACAACAGTTTTTCATTATTCAGAGGACACTTAACAGCTTATAAGCTACTTATTAGTGTTGTGTTCTTTAAAAAAAATAGTTCTAATCAACGTCGTTTTTGAAACCAATGTATAAAAAATGTTTAAATCAAGTTCAATAAAACACCAAAATATTTATTAAAAAAAAAATAAAAAGAGGAACATATTGTAACTTCATTAACAAGCAAAAACATAATAATTAAATTCAAACATACTAGGTAGGTTTTGATTTGTGTAAATCAAGTCTTTTAATGCAGGAACCATGGTAAACTCTTTGACATGACTGACATTTTACACCAGAATTTTGGGAAGTCAAATTGGCTGTACAATAAAAGCACATCCCTTTTGCTATTATTTGATTTTCAAATTCTAAAAAAGTATCTCCTTTAGAATGTCCGTTCAGAAACAGCGACTTTTTAACTTTTTGTACTGCAGAATCGTTTATTAATTCTTGTCGACTGTCTTTATCTGATTTTTCATGAATTTCAATAGGCGATCTTACAAGAGCCAAATTATAACTTAACATTTTAAATTCCATTTGGTATGAATTTTTGCCTCCTCTATTTTCTCTGAAGTTACTAACAACTTTTATATCATCTGTACTTTTTTCGTTGCTTCTATTTAAGTTTTCCCCACAATTATCTTTTTCACCTAACACTTCTTTTTTATTTTTAGGAGAATAAATGCAGTTTCTGTTTCAACCTCACAATCTTTAAAATCAATATCTGGCTAAAAATTTACATTAGCAGCTATTTGTCCTTGTAGATGATTATTTTCTTCTCCTTCAGTTTTTTAGTCGACCTTTTCATTTACTCTTGTTTTTTGGATCTTGTGTTCTTTGGTGGTTGACGTTGCTTCTTTTTTCAAACATTACATCTAATTTTCTTATTTTGTTTCTGACATTCTTAGTTTCTTTGTTTCTTTCTACTTTTTCAAGTTCTTTTCTTTTTATTGCAAATTCTTCTTCTTCTTCTTCTTCTTCTTCTTCTTCTTCTTCTTCTTCTTCTTCTTCTTCTTCTTCTTCTTCTTCTTCTTCTTCTTCTTCTTCTTCTTCTTCTTCTTCTTCTTCTTCTTCTTCTTCTTCTTCTTCTTCTTCTTCTTCTTCTTCTTCTTCTTCTTCTTCTTCTTCTTCTTCTTCTTCTTCTTCTTCTTCTTCTTCTTCTTCTTCTTCTTCTTCTTCTTCTTCTTCTTCTTCTTCTTCTTCTTCTTCTTCTTCTTCTTCTTCTTCTTCTTCTTCTTCTTCTTCTTCTTCTTCTTCTTCTTCTTCTTCTTCTTCTTCTTCCTTCTTCTTCTTCTTCTTCTTCTTCTTCTTCTTCTTCTTCTTCTTCTTCTTCTTCTTCTTCTTCTTCTTCTTCTTCTTCTTCTTCTTCTTCTTCTTCTTCTTCTTCTTCTTCTTCTTCTTCTTCTTCTTCTTCTTCTTCTTCTTCTTCTTCTTCTTCTTCTTCTTCTTCTTCTTCTTCTTCTTCTTCTTCTTCTTCTTCTTCTTCTTCTTCTTTTTTCTTCTTCTTCTTCTTCTTCTTCTTCTGTCTTTCTTTTAAGCGACTGTGTAGATGTTATAGCAAACGTTAGCTTCTCAGTCTCTTTTTTGCCTTTTCTAGTGGGTGTTTTTGCATACCAGAGACTTTTTTCTATAGAATGTAGAAAATTCTGAGCAATGATCTCGGACTCACTTCTGGTCATTTCTATCGTCTCCGTTTTATTTGCTTTTATCGATAGAGATTTCATCTATTTAAGTCTTTAATAAAATCTAAGATTATATATTTTCTTTATCAGGTGAAGGTTGTATGTGTTCAATTTGGTTTTCTTCGTTTAGGACATTCAAAATAAAATTATGTTCATCATTGTTTAAAACAACAGGTAATTTGTTAGGGTTTTCAGGAAACTCTTTTTCAAAAGTATCTAGTTAATCAACCATATGAGAATCATTCGTTTCAACTGGTGTTCTTAAATAGCTGATTATCGTCAAGCTCCATGTTATTTCCAGCTTTAAATACCTTTATCATATCACTTCCAACTACATTATTTCAAAGTCGGTATAACTTAAAAATGTATCTTTTGTGGAAGTTTGTTTTTGTGCCACCTAAACACTTGGAAAAGTCTACTGCATTTCAATTCCATGAATATAGACCATTTGCTCTAATCCATTTTTAATTGTTTGGCAGTTTGCTCTACTGCTACTTTTAATATTGGTGCAAAGTGTTCTTTTCTTAACGTTTTCAAGGGATGACTTCGCCTCCAGTTTACCACTGCTCTTTTCCATCCATTTTTTATTGGCTTGAAAGCTACAACATCAACTGGTTGCAGAATTATTGTGAACATCTTCGTCAAAGTTGTCTTAGAGGAAGCATATACAATTTCGTAAGCGTTCTGTGCTCCTCTTGATGCCAAGACTTTAGCATTTTTTGGACACACATTAAAACATGTCTCATCAGTATTTAGAAAACTTTCTGGATTTTTAAAAATAAGCAACCATCCTTTTGAATCAAGATATTTTTCAATGCCCTCAAACCATTTTTTTATAACTCCTAAAACATTTGCATTGGCAGCGGTTACTGCCTCACTTGTGCTTTTACAAATTTATTTATTTCTTCTGAGAAAAGCTTTATACCAAACTTCGCCAAGGCGGTTGTATATGAATGGGTTTTTTTTCGGATTTTTATCTAGAAATTCTTTTACCGATTCTTAAATATCTTCCTTACGTCGAGGAAATGAACGTTTCTGATTTTCAATAATCCAGTTTACCAACAATTTTTCTTCATGTTGGGTAAGTATAGTGATTTTAACAAATTTCCTACTTTTTCTAAATTGAAGTGTGGATTTTAAAACGCCTTGCAGCTTCTCGTATTGGCAGTCCTTTTTCAATTGCTTGGAAAGCTTCTAAAATTTGATGTTCATCATATTTTTTGCTGTACTTTTCACCAACAAGTTTTTTTGGCATTACGATGACCTGAAATTTAACAAAAATGAGTGATTGGCCAATCTCAAATTTATTCACTGGCCTTGGCCAACTAATGGTTAAAGTCCAATATCTACTAACATACATAAATAAAAATGTCTAACTAGCTATAAGGATAAAAAACTAAACCAAAAAAATATAATTTTGTTCCATATTCAAAATTATTAGTTATTGGCCTTGTGACCAATCAATGATTTTATACAGGAAATAATAACCAGTAATTGGCCACTTAAAATTATGTGTATATTTGGTTTAAACTGACTAAATTGTTATTATTTCATTAAAACAAAGTGTTAAGAAGATAACTTAAGCGATGTTTAAAAGCAAAAGTAGGAAAAAAAAAATACTTACCTTCTCACGAAAAATCACTTTACAAATTGATACATACACATACACGTCCGTCAGCAACGACCATCACTTTTTAACTTGATGACTAAAAAAGTAGTGGGGCACAAATTCAAACAACTACACAGAGGGAGACAGATGTGTGGCCAGATTATGTATATACTAATATAAATTGTATTTTTGCCAGGGAATTGTTAATAATGGGGTTTTTAAGTTTCAGGCCAATCACTGCTAATGAAATAATAAATGGCCCAATAGGATAAATAACCCACCTTACGGGATTTTTTTTTTTTTGAACAAGAACAGATTTGATTTTTTTTTTTGATTTTATGGAGTTAATGAGTTTATTATTGAGAATATCTCCATAAATATGAACTTTATGAAAAAAGCGAATGAAACCTTTTTTGTAGAGAATTTTATTTCCTACAAAATTAAATTTTGAAAAACCTATGATTTTATGAAAAAAATAAACTTCAATCGGCTTGCGAAATGTGTTATTGTTGTTCAAAAAAAAAAATATTCCCCCCATATTTTTTCATCAAAAGGAAGGTTTTCTTAGGGCGTCGAAAAAAAATTAATTTTTAACGATCACTCTACTGTCCACTCAGTATAACGATTCTAATCGTTCTTTTTCGAGAGCTTAATTTATGTTTACTCAGTTTGACCGGTTATCACTATCCAAGACATTTAAATTCCGTAGACACCAAAGGCGTTGTCCTAATTACTTGGTCTTACTCCATTAAAACTATTCCATTTCCTAATTTCTCCTACAAATTAAACTCACCTAGTTACACGGTAACTACTACTAATACGATAACAAAACTTTTTAAACGTTCACTTGAGCGCTCCACGTGATTCACATATATGAAGTGGGAAGAGGTGAAACTTTATTAAAACTTTTGTCAGTTCATTTAATATTCCTTTTGGATGAAAATTTGTTCCTAAAATAAGATTACCGTCATTCCAAAATAACAAACAAAACCGGGAGGAACTCTGAAAAGTACCTTTAAATTCCTAATTTGGCTTAAGAATTTTGTGAATGGAATCAATTGAGCCAGAATAAAGTTTCTTTTGATTCTATTTTTGGGATGTAACGCAAAAGAAAGGTCCGTCATTAACTAGGGTATTTTTAGAACTTTGGTAGGTATTACAGAATGAATGCTATATTCGAAAGATGGTCCATTTGGGGAAGATTTATTCAATATTAAATTAGAAATAATTTATAGGTGTGAAAGAGCGTAAGTCAACTAATCCAATATGATTTAATAAGCCTGATTGACACAAAAAGCTGCATTTTTAAAATTAGAACAGTAGAAAGAATCAGTCTGTAATATTGGGTTTAAGTCAGAGAGAAAATTAAAAAAAAAGTTATGAACATTTAATGTTAGATAAGTTGTTTGTATACAGGGTGTCCTAAAATTGCTGGGACACAGAGCTATCGGACCGTACAAACTAGACGACAGTTATTTCCCAGAAAGAAGAAGATAACCAGAATTTCGATAATTAATAATGTCAAAACATTGTTGAAATAAAATGTAAACAAACGTGAAATACAACTAAACAGTGATATAAAAGGAATGAAAACTAAGTGAAATAACTACCACATACTCTCAGGTCATTATGCTACACGTTTTCTGCTCATAAAACCATCAGGATCTTTAAAACAAAAAGGTAAGACAAGTTCAATGAATTGAATCATATTAAAAGTTTTATTCAAAACAAAGCAGTGCCTTTTTAAAATACTGAGTATGAAGGATATGTTTTAAATGCTTGTATCCTTTAAATTACCAAAGGTTCTTATTCAAGACAAATCGACACTTTATTACAAGTTAAGAATGTGTTTTAAATGCCAAAAGCTTATTTGGAGACAATTATGATCTCGATGATCCTACGTATAAACACAGCTGCGAAGCAAAATATTGTAAAAAAGAGGTAACTAGTTCATGCCATATTTGTTTAACGCTGTTATGCTGGCAGCATTTTCAAGTTTACGGGGATTCATGTGAAAGCCACTTAAAGATTACGAAAAAAAAAAAAAAAATCAGCTCGTAAAACTCAATCAAAAATTACTGGTAAAAATATGGGCGAAGGCAATACATTAAAAAACGCTACCAGAAGACTTTTTAGTAGAAGGTGAAGGAAGAGAAGAAGAATTGTGTGAGAGAACAAAAAAAGTAAATAAATAGAAACTAGCCAAAAAAATACGAAGAGACCTCGTCAAGAGT